CCAATGCCGTCATCGCACCTAGAATCGGTACTCCGGATGCGGGCCACTGTTCTTCTCGGGGTGGTGGTAGCCGATCAGTATTGTAGGCGACATTGAACATTGGGCCAGAATCTAGAGAGGCATAAGAGGTCTACATTTAGGAAAACCTATATCGACATTTAGATATAGGGTGCAATCATGCGTTTAGATTTCGATTTTGTGGTAATTTTTAGCCAATTCCCAGCCGTTTTGGAGCTACAGTCGTTTAAAAAGAGAAATTATAAATATCACATGTGTATCCGTGGAAATAACCACATTGGTGTGAATAGCACATGTACAAAATCAGGAGATTCAACGGAGGTACAACCCGGCTATAGACCATGTGGGCCCCTCCTATTTGTGGCACACATCAGTTTTGTCACAACACAAAATTCTTCTCCCTCAGACGCCACCACGTGCAGTACGCGACGGCGGTGGATCGCACGGTATTCCTAAGGCCCCATGGAGTCCTGGTGCATATGACCGCCTGCAACAGCAGGGCAGCGATCACAGCTCGGTGCTCTGCAAGCCTGTTCAAGCCAAACGGTCAAGTTGATGAGATATCGTACCCGAAAGGGCAGCCGGCAGGCTGCTGATTTGGTGTGCGAATAGGGGCTGTTTAAGCATAGTAGTTATGCGTAGTGTGACGCGTGACGCGGCTGGTTAGTCGACGCTTACCATCATCAACGCTGCCAATTGGAGAGACGCCAGTCGCTGGGCAGAGCGACCGCCAGACGTCTCTCTCGCGCATGAAGTGTAAGTGAAATCGCTAACTTTGCTACTGAGTATCACTAATGCTTTATCATTATCTGTATTTAAACATATGCTTTGTTCATCTAGCATCAATCAGGCTCCGGGACTAAGGTGATGCAGTAGTTCTGCCGACGTTCGGCCACATCAGCGGCTGACGATCGGCTCCGTTGCTGCAGCGTAATCGCTCGCGTTACTCCTGCTGGAGGGCGTGACCGGCACGGGGAGGACGGCCTGCTGTAGTAGAAGCGGTGCCCACTGTAGCTCGCTTGCGCTTGTGCGCACAACGGTTGACGAGCACCTCCTCGCCGTTGCAGTTAACGCGATCACGCTCCTGCATCGCGAAGAGGCGATGCACGCAGTTACCATATTTGAAGTAGTAGGAGCAAGGGCATGTCTGGGTAAGCAAATTGACTGGCCACCCTGTCTTGGGCTGGTCTTCGGCTTCCTTCCGTGAAGTGTTGACACCAACCTGAGCAGCGATTTGAAGCGCTTCTTGCAAGGAGTTCGTGGCAGGGTTGTAGGCTCTCTCTGGTGCCGTGTACAAGACGGGAAGAATATCTGTGCTAGAATCCACCATGAGGAAGTCGAGGCTCATCCGTGGTGCTACGTACTCTCGTAGAAACGGCTGGCTCCGAAGGGCCTTCACACGAGCAGGCAGCTCTTTTGATGCGACTGGTGTGAGCGCGAACGGACGGCGATCAATTGCGCGCTGGCGAGCACGCAGCGAGCTGCTGTAACAGCTCGCCCATTTTCAGGAGACGATGTGCGGTGTAATCGCGTTTCAAGGCCCGGTTGAATTGTTCAACCGGGTTGTTGGTGGTGCCAAAGGCGGTAGGCATACTGTAGCATTGCCAGTGGCGAAATCGATCATTTAACCAGACTCGTTGGAAATACCGGTGGAATGCCTCCAGCATTGGAAGTTTGAGCCAGCGAGCTTCTGTAGCTTTGGACACAGTGGCAAAGTCGTCAGCGCTTCTGCTGTAGTGCAGATCATAGATGTCGCGAAGGACCGAGTCGCGTACCCCGTACGGCAGACCCTTAAGCCGATCGATCACCTTGGCAAGTACGTGGTAAAAGGACATGAGATGGACATACTTGCTATCACTTCCAAAAACCGCAGCCGCGGCGTTGTACTGGGCCGCGTCAGCGTCTCCCATTAAGTAGGAAATGTGCAGTGGCTCCCCCAATACTTTGCTGTAGATCCAGCGCAGGGCAGCAAAGGCCTTTGTATAGTGCCCTTCTTGCTGCTGGGAGGTGACAAACAATGCCAACAGCTGAAACGTTCTTGCGGCGTCGGTAATACCGATAACCAAGACTGGATATCCAGCCTGGTTGGTCTTGTAGGTAGCGTCCACGTGGAAAATAAAGGTCGCGGGGTCTTGGGAAGCTTGGCGAAGCAGCGCCTTCGTTAAAAAGCCCAACAGGAAAGGCTTTTCATCGGACCCATTGCCGACAACGAGCTTGCCTTCACTATCCAAGTCCCAGCTAAACGTAAATTGTTCGTGCTCTTCTTCCGAACCATTGAACGCTAGCTTCTGCATAGCCGCCACGATAGTTGCAGTTGTGTCACTACCCCCGAGCTTGGTACGGCGATAGTAGCACCCGACATTCTGCACCTTTTGTAGAGCTGGAAGCTCGCTGGGTCGTAAACCGAGCTGCAATAGCATCGCCGTGCGTATACGAGCCGGCTTCATACCAGCCCGAGTCATTTGCTTTGAAAAATCCTTTTGAGCTGTAGTGAAGGTGCGACTGTGTGGCGGTATCGCTCTAGTCACATGCTCGTCACTCTCAAATAGTGACACGACCTTGCGGTCGAGACAGACTAGCATTTTTTTCCCTCCACGGACACGTGGCATAGGGGGCGGCTTGTTTGCACTGAGTGCAGCGGCACTTAAGAATCTTGTAGCGCATCAAGTGCGGTGTTGGAACGGCACATAGCGTGCAAAAGATTGCTTGACTTTTGGTGATCTTGAAGGCCTTCAGACACTGGATAATAATGAGTGCGTCGCTCTCTTTAAGCTCGGTGCACATGGGGCGCCAGACAATTGCTTCAGGCATCTTGGGGAGAAGGTAGTGAAATAGTAGACTCGTACTGGCGGGGAGGAACTTTGAAGAATGGTCTTGTTGACGAGTGGATCGACTTTTAAGCTATTTGATAGAGTGAACAAGCCGAAAATGAAATTTTTGATTGGACAAATCTGCGTCCCGCTAGCTTGCGATTGGCTATTGTGCATTTCTAAGCTCTGTGAGTGACTATACTTTGTTCCTGTGTGCTGCTATTGATTGGATGTACACGCATCACGGCACTGATGCGCAAATCATGGTTTAGCTGTGTGCCTCACATGATATTGTGAAATTCACAGGTGCATTGTGTTTTTGATGTGCTGTCGTTTAAAAATGCCTTCTCAGAACACTGTCATTTTCGGGGGAAAGGCGCGCCAAATACACAGATATGATTGGTCTAGAATCCAAATCATATGTCAAAAAGGAAGATGACACATCGCCCGGTCGCAGATTGCCCTTGTCGATTTAACATTCAATTCTGCCAGCAGGATGGTGAAAAACATATAAAGGTATTATACATGAATTTTGTTTGTTTTTATCATCTACTGTTCTAATTCCTTCAGGTCATAATCTCGCTTTCGTCCTCTGTCGTTTTCACTGGGCTTTGTACAAATATTAGTTTAAAAAGGAAATGTTACAATATCAGTCATAATTAGTGTCTGGGCTATACTTTTTCTCATTAACCACGGAGTCAGCGGTGTTGGGAGCACAACCAAGGCAATCAGAGACCAGTTGGCGTGTCCTGATGTCTTTGAAGAGGCCTTGTTCCTTCTGGCTTTTGAGATACTCGTAGCTGTTCACAATCATCCGCTTCTCTCCTGGGCAGAACTCGTGCTTGCCGGACATTTTCGCTGAACTTAATAGATGCTTCTGGCTAATTGATGAGTTCTACCGCCCTCTCAAGACACTAAGTTATATATAGCACTTTTATTTATATCAAACAGACAATTATTAGACTTTTTACAGTCTGTATAGTATGGGTTACAATTTCTGGCCCAATGTTCAATGTCGCCTACAATACTTCGTACACGAACGCGCCAGCAGCTCCACCCGTAATTGGGGCCACGATTGGCACCCAGAAATAATAGTGGTTGAGCGAGAACACGCGCGAGCCCCAACCGGCACTCAGCATGAAGAGGCGGGGACCCAGATCCCGAGCCGGGTTGATAGCCAAACCTGTGTTCATGGCGAACCCCATCGCAATGGTCGGGGCTCCCGATTATGGCATGGTCTTTTCAATTATTTCTTATGAAATCATAAAATTATTTATTTCTTCGATTACCTGGATGTTATTAAATATTTATTTGCTTAAGGAATCATCCGACATAATTTATGAGCAAAACCTCTTTATTATTATGTACCTCTCACAACCAACCATGACTTTTCACTACTGTACTTAAACTCTCTGCTACCAGCACTTCTCTAAGCCAGCTATACGACACAGCTTGCTCACGTCCTCACTTTTTAATTTGAGCAACTCGAACAAAGCCCCTCGTTAAGCTATTATGGTCCTTGCCACGCTCCCCCGCCACGCCACCTTCACGCCAGCCCAGGTTACTGTGTGCGTATCTTGGGAGGGAGCCAAAGTCTAACGAGGGCCGATAAGGCAGTGCTGCAGCCCTTCCGCTGCCTGGAAGAAGTAGAAGAGCCTGCACGCACTGCAGCAAAAGCGAAGGAAAGCGTTTAGCAGCAGTTCAGCCGCGGTACAACCTGCTTAGCTACATTCCACCTACTTCTAACCTTGTTGAGAGGTTCTTTAGCGTCACCAGGACGACGTACGGGCAAGAGCGCCACAGCTTGCAGCCTATTACATTAGAAATGGTGCTGTTCTTACGCCAAAATGGAGAGTATTGGTCAGCTCAGACTGTCGACGAGGCCACTCGCTAATTATTAACATGGTGTTGGTTTGCTTTACATTATGCTCTTATTTATTGTTTGTGCGCAGTACATGACATAATGTATGTGATGACACTAGCTGCCCAATGCCATTATTTATGGTTAAAGAGGGTTCCCATTAAATAACAATGCCATAATCGGGAGCCCTGCAAATATGTTTGCATCCACCACGAGTTATTAATAAGATGAGCGCTTTGGTGACCTCATACAGTATCAAGCAAGGAACAGCGTCATGTAGCAGTCGATCCTTGCAGGAGCATCAAATTGATTTACTTTACATTTGACGGTCGGATGACCTGCAAACCGCAAAAGATGTCTTGGTTTTAGTAAAAGCGTTTGGGGGGTGTCTTCAATTTCTGGGCAGGCATCTTAGCCAAACCTGTGTTCATGGCGAACCCCATTGGCAATGGTGCTCACCAACGCTCCGACAGCAGGCGTTACGGCGTGTTTGCCGATAGGACGGTTGTGCTGGTCCAGTAGTGCAAGGATGCCCAGGATCAGCAGTGCCGTGGCCACGAACTCCGTCAAGAAGCACGTGAAGTTGCCAACGTTCTCGTGCGGAAACGTCGCGAAGATGGTGTGCGTTGCCACCCGGTCCGGGTCAACCTCGTTGAACATCGGTCGGTACAGGATGTACACGAAGAGCGCAGCCACGTACGCAGCGACGACCTGGTTGAGGATGTAGAACGGTACCTTCTTCCAGGGCAATAATTTGAGGAGTGCCAGTGTTGTGGTTACTGCCGGGTTCAGGTGTGCACCGGAGATACCGCCGCCGACGGTGATACCGAAGAAGAAGGCGAGACCCCAACACAGTGCGATGGTCACGAAATTGCCACTGGTCTTGCAGCTTAGCACCACCTGAGTCATGCACGACAGACCGAAGAGCATGGTGACAAAAGTAGCGAGGAACTTGGCCATCATCTCCTTGGTGAATTGACTCTTGATCACGTACGATACGCTTTCCACTGGTGTCAGGTGCTGCAGGTGCTGGCTCGGGTCTCCCGGAGACTCGAGGTCTGCGTACGCAGCGTGACTGTTCTTCTCCAGGTCCGAGTTCCGAGTCATGATACGCTCCCTGGGTCTGCTTGTAATTTCCAGGATGTAGAAGCATCGATTCAATCGACCTCTCTATATAACTCTGAATTCAACGTTGATTCGATTCGGTTCGCCAATACCAGCTTTCAAATCGAAGTCCCGACAGCTGCAACAACAAGCGTTATTAGTGTCAATCTCGCTGATTGTTATTATCTATACAGTGATATCAATCGAAATATTCAAACGGCTCTTGTCAATGCTGGAGCATATCTAATTGATTTTAATGGCAACAATGTCTTCTATATTCAAATCGAAGAGAATTTGACCTATTACGCTTGCCAGCTCTACTGCGCTACTCCAACCTCTTACCTACTGGATATACATGTAGCCGACGATCCACTGGCCTTTATTCAACGGGTGGAGCTGGTTTGCCGACGACAACTCGAGCTCCGCATTTAATCATCAATAATACTGCGTTTGGCTCTTTGCTTGGTCTAACTCTTGGTACATACCCAGCATCACCATCGACAACTGCCTTTAGTACTCTATCCAATACTATCCCAGAGATCAGTCTAACGAGCTCGTATGTAGTTCGCCGCGATCTTATCAAGAATGATTTCGTAGCTAGTGGGGATGTAACGACGCACCAACGTCACAGCCAGCGATGGCCATGACGTTGGTACCAATGCGTCCTACTTTCTTCTATTTTCTTCCCACTTGTCTTTGCTGACTGCCAACTGTCCTCTTAAGTTGCCAATGAGCGGCCAAACAGACACACGCCTGACCTGAAGGCAATCACCATGTTTGGACGCGTATTGCCAAACATGGAACTTCAATGACAGTCATTCTTTTTTATTTGAAATGAACCGCGGTTCAGTACTACGCTACGCTACTTCAAGATTCGACTCAAGGAGTACTAAGAATCTAGTATAGTGAAATGCATATACTTACATAGGATACCAAGGGAATGCTAGCAAGCACTTCCCCGTAGCCGACAAACAACTAACCATTTCAATCTCACTTTCCAATTTACCTTCTTCGAGGCACATCAACTGCCTCCTACGCCTTACCTTCGAGTCCCCATCGTTGGACTCTCGCCGCCCTCCTTCGCTTCGCTCCTCGCCACGCGACTCGTTCCTCGTCGCTGTTCCTCTGCGCCGTGCTTTCACCAGTCGTCACATCTGGTAGCACTAGCTGTTTTCCGTCCGGGAGGGCGTTCTTCATTCTCTATTCGCTACGCGACACGTGGAAGGCCGCTCGTTGAGCTGTGTTGTCGTTCTTTGTCTCCAAATTCGTCGGATTTCTTCGTTGCGACCTCATTTCGTACGGATTGCCGTGTTGAATGTTTGCGTGTGTACTGCACTAAGCGTCTGGTCTATAAGAACCGGATCAAGTTAGTAACGTCGCATCCTTCATCAGCGTTATCGTTGATTGCGTGTGTACTGTAAGTGTCTGGTCTATAAGAACCGGATCAATTCAGTACCTACACCCCTCGTCGCTGTCCACCTGTACTCAACTACCTTTTCGGCACTTCACCGCTGAATTTTTCGCCAATCAACTATGACTTCCTTAAATCCTCAAGGATGGTCTACTGACGCTATCACGCAGAAACCCATCGAAATGGTCGATAAGCAACAACATCTGCTTGAAGGCATGAATAAGCGTGAAGTGAAAGTAGAAGGTATCCGTTTGCCACACTTTCATGGCAAGATGGGAGAATCTGTTGATTTGTACTTTGAGCAACTTGCTCAGTACTTTGATGCCAAAAAATCGATTGGCAAAACGACAGCCAAAGCTCTCGAATTTTGGCCATTACTACTGCGGACTTTAAAGGAAATGTTGCCGCTTGGTACAAGCTGAACAAGCGTGATATCAAGGACGTGCAGGACCTTATGGCCCGGTTGACCGATGAATTTGTGCCTCCGGATTTGCAAGAGCGTTTGCGTGATCTATTGTACGCGCTCAAGCGAAAAAAATGCTCTAGCTTGGAAGATTGCATCTCTCCCTTCCGTGAAGCCATCATGCAAGTGACAGACATGAGTGAGTTAGACAAGATCACTTACTTCACACGTGGACTAGTCAGTCCTACGCGCGAAGAGGTGCAATATCGTCGCTGTACAGCAGTGTCGCAGGCAATGAGGATTGCTTTGGAGTATAATCGATCGCATCATGTCTGCGGTAAGCGCTATCGTCCACCGTTCTTTTCGCAGGACCGATCACGCTCTCAGTCCAACAACAATTCGCACCAAAAGCAAGCCACGCCTATGCGTGTTCAGGAGAGCGAACCCGAGCCAATGGAAATTTACTCAGGGAGTACTAGAAATAGCCGTTCTGCTTCTTCTTCGTCGTCTTACAAGCGATGCCGTTACTGCAAGAAGTCTGGTCATGTCAGTGAGCAGTGCTTCAAGTTGAAGAACAAGGAGAAGTATGCTCGAAAGAACCGTCACGAGCAATCTGCCGCGAACTTTAATTCTTCTTCTCCTACAGCTGCTACAGCTGCTACTGCTGCTGCTGAACGAGCGTCTATGACCCGTTCCGATGACGAGGTTGAGGTTGGTGAAGTGGAAGAGATTTCTACGTCCACCTTGTCTTCCATGCATCGTGAGAACGAGCTCATTCGTAAGCAAGGGACTTGTGATGGGAAACCTGTCGTCATCCTGTTCGACAGTGGTGCTACATGCAATGTTGTTTGCCCAGAGTTAGTCGCTAACACCGCTACGTCTGGTGTTTCACAAGTCACTCGGTTCGATGGAACTTCTACGAAAGCGCGTTCTGTGGAGAAAGGTCAAGCGACAATTGAATTCGGTCGCTACCGTTTCCGCAAACTTCAAGTCATGGAATGGTCACTTGGATCTGCCCATGATGTCATCCTGGTAAAACCTTGGTTTACCAAGTTGCTGCCATGTATCAATTGGCGCTCGCATGAAATTTCGTTTCCAAGTGTGTCTTGTGCACCTCCATCAACGATTGCTAGTCAAGCAGCTGTGGAGATTGCTGCTGTTGACTTTAAACGTAATGTGAAGAAACATGTGTACAAGGAAGTGTACCGTGTCAAAATTTGTGCGGTCACGCCAGTTAGTGAGTCGACTCCTGTTCCGATCACTCACTTATTGAAGCGTTTTACTGACGTACTTCCGGAAACTTTACCGAATGGTTTACCGCCTTCACGTCGTGTGGATTTCCAGCTCCACATGAAACCTGGTGCTGCTATAAGTAGCCGTGCTCCGTTCCGCCTGTCTAAGGTTGAGCAGGATGCACTGGATCTCTTCGTTGCAGAGAAGCTGAAACAAGGATGGATCGAAGTTTCTGATTCTCCTTAGGTGTCCAACATCTTTGGGATTCCAAAGAAAGATACTACTTCTGGACATCAGCTGTCTCGCTCTGAGTGGGTACGCTCTGGAAACTCGACTTTGCCTATCCATTGGGTCATCGACTATCGCTATGTGAACTCGCAGACGATTGTTCCAAAGATTCCCCTGCCTCGCATCGACGAGCTCTTCGATCAGATGTCTGGTTGTGTCATCTTTTCAGTTCTAGATTTGGGTTAAGGATATCACCAGATGCGTATCGCATACTATAAGTATACCGCCTTTCGCACGCACGCTGAAGCTTACCAGTGGTGTGTAGCTCCTATGGGATTGGCCGGTATGCCTGGTGTTTGGTCTCGCCTCATGAGGGTACTCTTTGCGTAGTACCGATTCATTGTTGTCTATTTGGATGACATTCGTGTCTTTTCCACCAGTCTGGAAGAGCATGTTGAACATCTTTAAACTCTCTTCGAGGTTCTACGTCGTGAGCATTTGCTCTGTCATCTCTCGAAGTGTCACTTTGGTAAGTTTCTCGGCCATACGATTTCTGCCAAAGGACTTGCTGTTGATACTCGCAAGACTGACGCAATTGCAAAGTGGCCTACGCCTCTAAACCAAAAGCAACTACAAAGCTTTTTGGGTCTCGCAGGTTATTACCGTCGCTTTATCCGTGATTACGCCATTATTGCGTTGCCTCTTGGCTCTCTTGTCAAGAAAGAACATGTCTGGAGCTGGGGTCCAGAACAGACGCGTTCGTTTGAGGAAATCAAATCCGCTCTTCAAGAAGCACCCGTGTTGCAGTTACCGGATTAGGGGAAGCGTTTCATCGTGACAACAGATGCCTCTGGCTACTGTGTTGGTGGCGTTATCTCTCAAGTTCGTTCTGGCCAAGATCATCCGATAGCCTTCTTCTCGAAGAAACTTGGTCCTCACGAGATTAATTGGCCAACACACGAGAAAGAACTCGTCGCTATTAAATTAGCGTTAGACAAGTGGCGTCACTACCTATATGGTCGTGAATTTGATATCTACACGGACAACACTACTTGCAAATGGTTTTTGCACCACCCGAAGGTTTCAGCGAAATTAGGTCGCTATTTGACGTTTTTCGCACAGTTTACGTTCAAGTTGCGTCACGTTAAGGGACACCTCAATGTGGTTGCCGATGCGTTGTCGTGTCAATCTTCGGAGCATGCGATCAATACGGTTTCGTTTCATCAGTTTACCACGCGCTGCCATACCCGTGCAGCTCGAAACCTGACTAATCGACGCGTATTACCGACTACCGCAGTCTTAACCAACATTTGGTTCGACCACCCTCTCGCCCTCAATTTCGTGGGGAGGATGTTGCTGCTGGTTACTACACCTGCCCTGTTCCGACCTTAACTCAAGCTTACCGACATGTACCAGTGGAAACTCCACGTACCGTCGCTGCGACTGAGAATATTGTTGTGGCCACCAATGTGACCCAACAAGCTCAAAATTGGAGCTCGCTCGGTTGGTCTGATTCGATTAGCAGAGAATTCGCTGCTGGATATCGCAATTACCCAGACTACGGAGATCGTTTTAAGCATCCGGAACAACCACTTGTCAAACAAAATGGTTTACTTTTCCGCAAGTATCAGACGATGATGCGCTTGTGTGCTCCGTTTACTCGGGACAATCAACTTCGAACTTCCATCATCTCTTGCTTCCATGACTCCAATATTGCTGCTCATCCTG